AATTGAAATTGATGTATCAAACAAAACCTGGAGAGCTTTTATATATTTTATGTGACAATGACAATGAGCATGACTATAACTCGAAATGGTCGTAGTATGAACATAGTCAGGTCGTAAGAAGAGCGTGATGAAGACGGCATGAGCGTGCTAGAATCGTACTATGTCTTGTACAGCGTAGTATAAACGTGGTATAGTCGTAGTAGAAGCGTGGTTGGGTCGCGGTGAGAACGTGATGGTCGTAGTGAGGTCGTAGTAAAGTCGCTGTGAGATCGTAGCGCAGTATCTCCGACTAGAATCGCGCTATCGCTACGATGGTACAGCGACCTTTGCGATCTTACCACGACCTTACTGCGCTCTCACTACGCTTTTACTACGACCTGATTTCGCCACGACCGCACCACGATTCTTTTGAACATGTTCAAAGTTGGTCCACGCTCATCACGATCATGAAGACCTCACCACGACCGTACCACGACATTACTGCGATCTACACAATTGCACTACGATCGTCGAAATTTACATTTTTTTCAGAGATCGTAGTGCGATCGTGGCCTAGTGTGACGGGAGTATAAGCTATATTTAGCCCAATTGTTTAAGCCTTCAAATGATATTTTATTTCATAATAAATTATAGAATTGGCCTTGAAGCTGTTTTGATTCGAGTGCATCTTATGAATCTAGTGTAGGCTAACGAGCATATTTTAATATTTTTACATTCACTTTGCTGCATGGCGGAATTATCATTTGTCCGGTCATTTTCTGTAAATTTACTGTTACTTAAATGTTTAGATTATTTGAAACACTATGAATGTTTCTATCATTAAGCAAATATGACACCAGCCATATGTTACAAATTTTTAAGAATTTTTGGTTTGCAATGCTCCTCAACTTCGTAATAGATTAGGAGTTTCGGCTGATTTTATTCATACATCACGGATGAGTCTTATGTAGATGAAACGCGCGTTTGACGTATCTTTGATGCGTTTTCTAATCATTAAATGTAACATTTTAACATGATAAATAGAATGTGTGACGAGCAGCGCACGAAATATATATTTTTAGCCTTCATTATGTTTCAACAGTTGACTAATTTGAATGTAACCTTTATACAAGTAAACTGTCTATTGTCAAACTACATATAATTTACTTTGCATGATATTTTATAGAATGTAAAAACTAAGAAAATGAAATAGTACTATATAGATTAAGTGCGTTCGACGCCCATTTCTAGATTTACCTTCATCTGGAACGCTCAAAATCATAAAACTGATAGCCCCTATTTTGTATTAAGGGATTGAAACCTTACTTGCGTAATAAATTCTTCATAAATCAACGCGTTTTTATAAGAAATGCATGACATAAATCATGTCAGTGGCGAAACATCCACTACTTGGCTGAAGATACCCTCGGAGACCAACAGTCCACTTGCCGCGGTATCCTCCCAGTACTACAGGCGCCGGCGGCGCGGCGGCGTCAACATTGTATTAGTTTGTGATTAGGTCTAGTTCACGGTGAACCACTAGTGGTAGATCAATAATAGTTGGTATGCAGTTGTATTAGCATTGGCACATCTCATTATCATGAAGATTGTTTGGCCCCGCCCCCTTAGTCAAGGTCTACTGACTTTGAAACTTTTCATAGTTTACATGTATTAGTTTGTGATTAGGTCAATTTACGGGGAACCACTAGTGGAAGGTCAATGATATTTGGTATACAGTTGTATAAGCATTGGCATATCTCATTTCGATGGAGATTATTTGGCTCCGCCCCCTTGGTCATGGTCTATAGACTTTGAAAATTTTGCTAAGTTAACATGTTTCAGTTTGTGATTAGGTCAGTTCAATGGGGACAATTAGTGTTAGGCCAATGTTAATTGGTGTTCAGTTGTATAAGCATTAGCACATCTCATTTCCATGGAGAATATTTGGCCCCGCCCCCTCAGTCATGGTCTATTTACTTTGAAACTTTTCCTTAGTTTACATGTATAAGTTTGTGATTAGATCAGTTTAAGATGAACTGCTTATGTTAAGTCAATGATATTTGGTATGTAACTTTATTGGCATTTGCAAGTATCGTTTCCATGGAGATTTTATAGCCCCACCCCTGATCATGGTTCATTGACGTTGAAACTTTTACATAGTTTACAAGTTAATGTTTGTGATTAGGTTTGTTTAAAGGGAACGACTTATAATCAGTCAATGGTATTTGGTATGCAGTTGTATTAGCATTGGCACATCTCATTCTATGGAGATTGTTTAGCCATGTACTTTCAGTCATGGTTCATCGACTTTGAATATTTGCATAACTTACATGTAAAAGTATTGCTATTTTAATTTCAACATTTGCATTATCAAAATTACAAAAAGGCGAGACATATCTCTGTGATAACAGTTTATTGTCTAAAATGTAAGTGGCCGCATATGTGTTCAGTATCAACCTTTATATATATTATGTATTATCGTCAAATGCAACATACATGTATATTTAAATATTAAGACTGAACACAAATGCGGCCGCTTCCATTTAAGACAAAAATCGTCTTAAAATTAGCACAAATGCTAAAATTGTGAAGATTTCAGTAATTTTGCATGAATTTATGATGCTAGTACCTGATGCATGTGCATTGTATTGTCACAAACAGCCCATATTTATGGAACAAAAGTATTCCAGTTTTCAATAAATAGCTGAAAGTTTACATTTCAGCAAATGTGTAAAAATGTTATAGTTTGGGGTTAAAAAGTGGTCTTACCGGGCCTATTCCTTTACCTTCATCAGTAACCAAAGGTTTGAATAAATACTTGGGGAAGCTTACGACTTTTTTTTTTATTCCCAGTGCGAGGAAAAATTTCTTTCCGTCTAACAATATCAAGTCTCTTTTCGGAAAAAAAAACGTACTACCATACTTCGATGATATATAAGTCTACATCACCATAACATACCCCTACAGAAAGCGAGAGATGAGAAGTAGATATATCTCCTTTCGGAGTCCGTTACAAATTTGAAACAATTGAACCCTTAACGGTAATTTGGACTTTCAAAGGGAAAATAAGATATAGTGGATTAGGACAGAAGTATTACCTTGCAACAGGCTACCTCAAAGATTTACGTGCAATGAGTATGGTTTCTTTCTCCACACGAGGCATCGAATGCAACACCCTCGTTCTGATCTGACTTGGCTGCGTATCAGATATATGCTACCTTTAGTATATTTTTGTTTTTGCTGGATGGTAGAAGTTCTTGTTATCATATTTTTTGCTGGTGGACTGATAGTCCCCGAGGGTATCACCAGCCCAGTAGCCAGTACTTCGGTACTGGCATGAAAATACGGATATTGTGTTATTACAATTTGCTGTTATAAAATTTTTGAAATTATTTTAAATTAAGGAATTTATCTCCCTCATGCAAAGCTCTAATTCCTTGCCCAGCTTTGGCTATACTTTTTTGTCCTTTTTGATTTATAGCTTTTCGTCTTTTTAATAAGCTTTGGATTTTCAAATATTTTGGCCTTGAGCATCACTGAAGAGACATTGATTGTCGAAATGTGCATCTGGTGCAGCAAAATTGGTACCGTTTATGTTATTATTAATAACTTCGCCAAACTCAGTTGTTCGGGTTTTTAAAAACTTTACTCTACAACTTCGTGATAAAGGATGCATAATAAAACCATCAAATAAATTCAAATGAAGCAAAATACTAATCAGCATAACAACATGTATGTTGTGAACGACATAAATGGAATAGAACTTGCGTAAATAGTTCAAGTAAATCTTAAAAACCACAATAAAAAATAATCCCTTACAATAAATTTTTAGCTTCATAACAAACTTTAGAAATAATTACTAGACAACGGCACGCGTTACTGCTCTAAGCAATGTAAAAGTCATGAAAATTTGCCTTAATTTACATAAATTATAACATTTTATAAGTTTGATAGTCTCATCACTATATAACTGTCATACGTAACAAGAGGAATGATGTAAACAAGTTTATAAAACGATAGAATAATAAAAAAAAAAACTTATAATTACCTTATGATGTAAACATAACAGAAATAAATGACAGTATATTGAAAGGTAGAACATTGATATTTCGTCATGATTTGCATAAACAATACACGAAATAGTAACCACTAATTAAAACCAAAACAAATTTCATCCAATAGGAAGTAACCATTATTAAATAACTGAGGGGACAAATGGTTTATTTATTTACAAGTGTTTTAGTGATCGTGTCCTATTCCCGATTGTGACGTTTTGACTGAAAGTGTATTCGGATTGTGAGTGATTCATGCATATCAGTATATGCTTCCCTGTCGACGCACTTGGTCTCGTTCCTTTTGGAACTCAAATGTTCCCATATATTTTTTACATTGATTTTTATCTTCTTGATAAATTTATGAAAATTTGAACATCGAAAAACTACTGTTGGCTCTATTCATATGTGCCAAATGCGGTAACCCAACATATTTGTCTTGGGTATCCTGGTCAATTTTCCTATTGACAGCTGCCATTTAGATTAAAGATAAAGTATAACATTTTCATAATTGTCACATTTTTCATTTAACCAACAAATTGAAATTTGTATTGAAATGTATATACAATGAGATGTTGCACATGTCATCTTTAAAAGTCTGCAAATCTATCATGTGTTAGCCAATCCCAAACAACCTGTGAAATAGTTTTGATCATTTGGCTGAGTCAAACGCAACATATAGTGTATGATACAGCATTACATGTATTTAAAAGGAGGAAATTCATTTGTCATAACTTTTATGTACTGAAAGTAATTGATACGTTTAATTTTGTGACATGATTTTGAACCAATTAACATACGAATGACTCAAAAAAATCAAAACTTATTTGATGGTAACGACAAAAAACGTAAATATTTATCTTGTGAAAAATGTCTCGAGTTTAAAGTGATTTGTTCATTTTGTGGAATTAGATTGTATTTTATATCTTAGACAGGTTCGTGTATATTATAGGGAAAAAGTCTAAATTCTGTGTTCAAGTCCCTTTGAGAACTTTGGGACAGAGTGTCTTCAGATAGAAGATTAAGACTACAAAGTAAGAAAGTCTATGCTTTAAGAACTAAGAGCCAACTTTGTAATTGATTTTTGTAGTAATGGAAATAATTTACAGATTTCTTTCTTTTGTATTGTGGATTTTATCAGTAGAATCTGTGCTTGATATATCACCTTACAAACAACTACTTCTTGACTTGCATAATGACTGCAGGAGGGATGTTAAAGCTTCTAATATGCAGAAACTGGTAAGTTCTGTCTAAAACTATGTATATATATATATATATATACATATATATATGTGTGTGTTGCGTATAGAGTTTGCTTGTTTTTTGTATGTTCAATGTTTCAAGACTAGGACATGTAGCCGTCTCTGGTATGGTTCTTCGGAACATTATCTTGGATGTCAGATTGCCGGTTGTCATCATTGATTGTATATATATGTGCCTTTTAAGCTTTTATAATCATTAAAAACAATCCATCATGACCATGCTCTTGCGTAAGTTCTCAGCATGTTTCTTGGGACAAAATCGATATATATATCAGTCAGTGTAAAATGTGTGATTTCTGAATATACTATTGTAAGGAACTAAGAATTAAGATATATTGTTTCATGCATAAATAATTTTGTCATAGTTATTAGAATAGTCGTCTGATTAGTTACATTGTAATTTACCGATCATGTACTTTTCTGATTATGGCATTTTGACTGAGTTTTGATTTGCAGCTGATACAAACATAGCAAGAGTGTCTTAAATTTATTCTGTCGAAGCACCCGGTCTCCCTTCTTTTGAAAATCATGCTATTCCATAGGCTTTTGTTTTTACCCTGATTTCTAACTTCGTAATTTATGAGATTTGCAATTTGGTAAACTACTGTTTCCTCAAATTCAGAAAGTTTATATTAATGTTGTTTCATTTTGTCGTCTTAATTTATGTCCATTTTAGACATTTTTTCGAATTAACCAGGAAATGAAAAAAAAAAACCAAACAAAGAGACCATCAATTTATGTTATTAAGATACAGAAAATGTTAAAAAAAAACCAAGCAGATAAATCTAATATTCTAAAAATTTCCTTTCCTGAATTTTTCAGCTTGATCTATAACTAGAATCTAATGCATGATACGACTATCTATATTTCGTTTGAGTTTGCAGTTTATATAGACAGTACATATTACATAATATGGATCTTCCATGAGAACTCGTACTTTTGGTTCATCAATCACAAGGCTTTCCAATATCAAATTGCATTTCTTAATAAAATTCACCATTCATGACCGCACGTTTCTTATGACAACGTCACTACAGTGCATAGAAAAAAAATTAGAAAATCTTGATATGACTCGTAATTTCTTAGTTGTTTAAATGTAGTTATAAGAAATAAATGTTTCTTTTTGTAATTGAATAGGGTTGATAAAACGTCAATCATGCGCACATTTTAAGTATGAATCGCTTCCGCGCTTCATATAAAAGGTGTCTCTGTTAACGATTTTACACCCGTATCAAATTACAAAAAGAAGCATTCAATTCTTAAAAAAAAACTATACGTGTTTGAAGTATTCCGGCTTTACTTAAATGCAATACTTAACAAAAAGGAAAGGAATGAAAACTTGAAAAAATAATTATATCTAGAAAAACTAATTTATTTAAACCTACTTCATTTGCCCCGCATAAAAACAGAAAGAGAAAGAAAAAATAAAAGAAACGAATGTTTTTTGGGGATTTGTACTTGTATGTTACATCAACACTACAATATATAAAGCCAGATTTTTCACATCAATTGTTTTTTAACGACTGTTATCTGTTTCATTTCAACAAACGTGCGAAGATTGTCGTTGATATATTATACGATAAAATTTTTAGGACTGGAGCCCTTTATTGGAAGAAGAAGCCTCGAGATGGGCAGAAAATTGTCGTTTTCAGATTCAGAGAATAGGCAACGGAGAAAATTTAGCAATGCATACAGCTAATCGGGGATTAGAAGATTTACTTGAAGAAGGTTTCAATATGTGGAACAATGGCAGGGAGGAATATAAATACGGGAATAAATTGTCATCTAACACAGGACATTATACTCAGGTATTTCGACTGATAGATTGTAGAAGCACCCACAAAAACAAATTGAAAATGCATAATTTTCAATAAAAAGTTTTGTATTTTGTTTTCTGTTTTAAGAACTTCAACGTAAATCATTTTCAGCAAACATTAAAAAAAAACCTATTTGAATACTCACTGGAATTTGAGCAGCATAAACTTCAAAATAAATGACATCATTGACGATGAAGTTATCTTGGAACATCGCACAACAGCCGAAGTGATCCCTATCTGTATCGCTACAGCTTTGCTATTTGGCAAAGAAATAACTATCAACATCAATTAAATGATTAATTGATGTTTGATTTATGTTCAAGGGTAAATATTTTAGGCGTAATCAAGACGAGAACAAATTTACAATGTATCCAACAGATGATTTTCTGTGCAGTGTTTTTGTGAACTGCTGTTTGTCAAGTGGTTTTTAATATTATCGTCAAAGAGATGTCGGTTATTCTTTTTCAACTTAGGGTTTGAATTTCCCGTACACTTTCCTGGTTTCTTTTTATAACTTGTAACAAACGGCCTTGTGATCATTTGTAGAGATGCTTGCATATTTCCTGAACACGAACTCTTCCTACTCGAATTAAACGTACAAATTTCGACCGGATGTTTTCCCCCTACTTATACATCTTGCGCATCCAAACGTGGATTTCCCCATATGTGTTATCCTTCCCCCAGTAGTAGAAACTGGGCCAAATTCCTGTACCCTCAGGTTACTCCTGGGGATCAAATACATTTAACATTCTCCTAAGGCATTGGTGAAAGAAGAAATACGATCTGAAAACAGCAAAACGGTAAGCAGGCATGTCATCTGTCATATTTCTTTTTAATTTTAGTATCTGTTCGGACATTTACGAATCGTTTAATTGTCGAAATGATCTAAAAAGGCATTTATCAATTATCTGGAAAATAACACTAAAATAATTCGTGCGTCCTTAGCGCTTTTTTTGGATTTACCTCCATTAGGAACGATCAAACCCAAACATCTAAAACCCAGGAGGATTAAGACCAAAACACGTGAAGAGGTATATGATCAAAATGGACCAACATAAAGCCAAATTTATCTTTAGTCAATGTCGCCATAGTTCTGAATATTTTTTTATAATTATCAACGGATTTGTTTTAAATCTAGCCAGTACAGATATGATGATACTCTGAGGGAAATTGCCATGACAAAAGTTTAAAGAAACGAAAGGAAAAGATGATACTAATTATATGAATTGCATTGAACATCAATAACTAATTTTAGATATTTTCAAAGATAAGACGATGTTAATTTAGCAACCTAGACATTTTGAAACACATTTACTTCATACAATCCGATTTTTGACATTAATGAATAAAGATGTCCATAAATTGTCTGGTTAAAACAAGTTGTCATCGAAGGAGGGCAATATAAAAATGTACTACAACATTTCTGATCAAGATATGATAAAACTTGCTCCATTACAAACTTACAGTACAATTATGTAATCAAAGAAAATATGGCGTCAATCATTAGGGGGCCTACTAGTTGTTTGATATAGTCATGTGTTTAGTAATGTGACTCCACATTGTAATAATATTTAACTCGATTATGTTTTTATTAACGTCTCATCTAAATGCATACCATATCTGATAAACGCAGAATCAGGAATCAGAATTTCCTGAGGTACGAAACGACGGTAATGGCACACTAAAGGTCACCTCACAGTAATACATGGAGTAGTCAGGAATAGATCCCGTTTTTAACCCAGTCATATTAAGATTGAATGTTATGGTCAGGTCCGAAGCTGGAATCACATCAAAATTCTGAAACTATTGAAAATTTTTAAAGCTTGTGATACAATAATTAACAGCAGAGTCACCCTTTAATTGAAAAGCATGTAAAGTCCTTATTTGTACCATTTCTACCATTCGTCATACAACTATTACTACTTGTTAGAAAATCAATAAATGCAGTACAGCAACTATAACGCGTACAATTTTCTCACATTTACATCATCTATTCTAGATATGTTATCATACTCTTCAGCACATCTACCATTAAAGCCTCCACAAATATAAAATAAATACATATTGAAATTCATAAACTGGTGAAAGTCATGTATCTAAAAAAAGTTCCTTATCAACTTGCCGTGTCGTGAGTTCAGATGATCAATAGCAAACACGTAGATTGATTCTAAAATTTGACAACCTGTGATGAAGATACACCCATAAACTACTCTCAACAGATTAATCTAGTATTAGGTTTTAGGTATGAAAATATTATAGATGATATTACAAAACTGTAATCTAATTGCACATGTTTTCTTTATCTGCTAACATAATGTAGGTTAAAATTAACTGTACTGAAAGCTGTTCGAACACATGCAACCATTTTCCCTAATGTGTCTATTACCTTTGCTTTATTTTGCAAAACCTTTCCGAATTTTAGGTCCTCAAGGCTCTTCAACTTCGTAGTTAATTTGGCCTTTTCGACATTTTTTGTTCGAGCGTCACTACTGAGTCTTTTGTTGACGAAACACGCGTCTGGCGTACTAAATTTTAATCCAAGTATCTAACATGTCTAAGATAAGGTTATTGTTATCGTTGAAAATTGAGATACAACTATTTGGTGAACTTTGTAACAATCACGTATATGCTTTCAAAATGCAAGAAACCTAACATGGAAGTATTTCAATGGTAGATTATAAATGCAGTAGTATATCAATACATAAAAGGAAACTGACTTTTGTAAAATTTGTATTCAGTTGATATGGGCTGATACATCCAAAGTCGGTTGTGGTATGACAAGGTGTCCTGTTTTGTTTATGAAAAATGGGGTGACAGTGAAAGACGCTTGGTTCTTGGTTTGCTTTTATAACCCACCGTAAGTATTAGTATGGATTTATATTCAATTTTGCAATTCGCCTTCAAAAATTGTAACAGAAAAATAAAATGAATGAAATGAATAAATTCAAAACACATATTAAACCTAATATATATCTTTTTAATATTTAATTTAGATTGAACAAAAGGGCAACTTTATTAATTGTGGATAGGTTACTTATTGTATGAAAATTGTTTACTGTTCTTGACCTGCCAATGACAAGACGAAATAAAGGGAGTGATGTCATCGGATATATACTGTCACAAAATTCGCATTATTTGTACAGTTTACCCACAATGGACTAAAAATTGTATCTATACATTAAAATTATGATGCCTAGACTAAAATGCAACACAACAGTTCAAGTACATTAACATCAAATGCATATGGTCAATACCTTAATTTGAATAAAAAGTAAAATAACAATAATACCGAACTCCAATGAAAATTCAAAGAAAATTTGCGTCAACATCAATCAGACAGCAAACCCAAACGATACAAATAGCCAGCTTACATCCAAAGGGCAACCCTCAATATTCAACAATAGACAGGTCAATATTATTTCAAACTCTAAATCATACAGTCTAAAAAAACTACTTTTTTTTCAGAGGAAACGTGCTTGGAAAAAATCCATATATTGTGGGTAATTCTTGTAAAAAATGTACAGACGGTCAACGGTGTGATAATGGTCTTTGTGAAGGTCAGTGATATATAAATAAGTTATGTACAATTGTTATATCAGCAAAATGAAGCTTTTAGATCAAGATTTGTTCAAGAAAAAATGAAACCATATACATAACTGTTATGAATCACAGATGCAGACATCATCTATTAGTTATTTATATTGTAGCGTAGTAAATTTTTTTTTTGTTACAACTTATATGACAGCTTCTTCAATTAATGTATAGCAGTAACTTATTATACAAAGTTAATTTAACATGTTAAAGCTGTATTTTAATATGAAGCAGACTTCATAAGGAGCTTCTTATGATGAATGATAGGAGATAGCATTATCCTTTAACTTCACGTTCCACTATAAAGATGTTGAGAACAACACTTTACGACGAAAAAAAAAGGATTTCAGCTATATGATTGTGAATTTTCGATTTCTGTGTCAAAATATCCCAGCAGCTACTGAATACGGAATATATATCTCCCAGTTGTTACGATTTTTCCAGAGCTTGTGTTTCATAATTTCCTTGATAGAGGATTCTTGCTCACAAAGAAGCTACATATATTTTATTATGTTTTAGTTATTGAAACTAAAATGGTTATTTTTTATAAAAACTTTTTGGCATAATAATATGTGAGCCAAGGCCTGCATTGTACATGATGTAGGCCAAGCTTATATTTTAAACATATTTACATCTTTGTTAAAGATATCTTTGTTAAAGACATCTCATATTCAATATATGAAAAACGGCATACTCTGCCGATTGCGAGTAACCTCTTGTTGTTTTATTTCAGGACATCACTCCACAGGAACAAGGAATATAATGCGTAAGTAACATAAAATATTAGTTATGAAAAGTGATAAGTTATAATGGCCATTATTTAATGGCGCCTGAAATTACCAAAATAAAATCTTGAAGCAATTCTCAATTGTGTTAATTATCAATAAATAATATGATGATATAGTCAGGCCTAGGACACGTCAGTACAAAAATGTTACTAGTGATTTCAATACTGTGATATGAATTATGAAAATTTGACATATTGAAACTAAAATGGTTATTTTTCATAAAAACTTTTGGCATAATAATATGTGAGCCAAGGCCTGCATTGTACGTGTTGTAGGCAAAGCTTATATTTTAAATATATTTACATCTTTGTAAAAGACATCTTGTTGCAAAACATTTTTGGGCTTTGGATCACATCTAAATATTAATCAAGATTTTAAAGTGATGATATTTCAGGCAATAATTTACCAGTTAGCATAACATTCTATTTGTTAGAAATGTAGTTATGATGTGGGAAGCTTAATACCAATTAATTACATACATGTTATCTGAAAGAGAATTATGTGTGTTTTATACTGGATTTTTTTTAATTTTTAAAGATTAGAAAAACAAAGGCTATGTGGTATTCGTCCATGACACAAAATCAGTACATGCACAGCAAAAAACACAAAAAAGGAAAGGAACAGCGCTTTAATTGCTGTTCATCATCTCAAACTCACAGTGAGGACTTCAACACGCCCCCCCCCCCCCAAAAAAAAACAAACAAACAACTCCCACCTCACTGCAAGTTTAAGACGGCCCCTAGCACCGTTTTGCACAAATAATTCGGATAGACTTTGTAAGATGTAACACCACAAAATTGGACCCGATCAAAAAATTACATACTGGAAAGTAGTAAAAATTTAAAACAAAATAAGTTCCTACGCATATGTGTAAATATCAAACTGAGCAGATTATGCTTTGGTAAATGAGGTATCAAATGACAGGTTAAGGACTGGTGATTCTCGTAGAACATATTTTGACTGAGAGTTTTGAATAATACGACAATTAATGAATGAATTTTAAAATTGAGCGCGTAAATTGCCTGATTCAGGTATGAAGTACCTTGTTTGGAGTATCCATATGATATGTTTAGTTTTATTCATATAATTGTTTCTATTTTAATACATATTAATTTTTCTTTCAGCGTCATTAAATAAAAACCAATTATTTCGTTGGAATTCAAGGAATACCTTTGCTCCACTTGTGGACAAAAATATACACAGTTCTCAAGAAAATATCTGTTTTGATATATCTCCACAGTGTGAACTTTGGACAGAAATGTGTTTTGATAGACGTTACGCCTTTGATCTATTCACCCTTTGTCGTAAAACTTGTGGATTTTGCCACAATTCTTGTAAGTAAAATGATTACGCATAATATTCATTAAAAGAAACTCCAAAGTGTTCAACAAGAAATTCATAATATATATATACATATATATATATATATATATTTGGGAGATTATACGCATTTTCCAGTAGTGCATTACTGAGATTAACGATATTTGCAAATCTGGCTTGAAATATTTTACGTATTTTATATCGTGATTTCATTAATTTAAATTTTGCTGTACACCATTTATCTATATTTTTGGTCACATCAAGTGCAGTGGAGTACTCCCCTAAAAGAGACGTTTAAGAATTAATCTTTAACCATAAACTTGCTATGATAGTAGAACATATCACTAAATTCTTACATTTTAATTTTTCAGTTTTATTTTTAAATCTACAGAAATATTTGAAATATTGTATGCCCGTTCTCGTAAAAAGCGAAAAGTAAAAATATATCTCTTCTTAGGAGACAATACAATAGCTGTTTTTGTATTCGAGGAGTATTTTGATTTTTTTTAACTTTATGGTATAATCCGTTTTGACTAAATACAGCGGGTATGTTCACAACACTAACTTTAAGCGATGTTTACACTAGGATACGGTTTATCAGTCCTTATAAAATACAAATTGAGTAATAAAAGTGATTAATTTTGCATGGTACAGGAACAACTACAATTCACTTTTGATAAAGAACGGTGATACTTACCACTACAGTATTCCTTGCTAAAATAAATTTGAATCGCTTTATACAGAAAAATCAAGCCAATTTTCTTCCATAAATATTTAAAGTGCTTTCAATTTTATGGTATTAAACACATTTATGATAATGCTGATCATAGACTAATATTCATACATGATGACATCTTGAACTAAATGTGGAAGAAGATATATACTAATTAGCGGTCAAATGTCACCATTTGAGTGATCGATTATGACATAACAGGTAATATGACTGTCATTTTTGATAATAACAATTTCTGAAATATGTCAAGTAGTTTTGTAAATAGAATATCAAATTTCCTGAATATGCATTCCAATATTATTTATATTTTTCTGTGTTCCTTAAACAGAAATAGAAACTGCACTTTCCTATTGCTACATTTAATTGTTTGTAATAATAATTCAGCTTATATATTGATGTCCTGACATGTTCCCTCATAGAAGTTTTGTACAAGTAATTACCTCAAACTATGCCTGACTCACTCAATCCTCATTATTTATGTATGAAAAAATGTCAAATAGAATGTAAATAAATTATGAGGTCTTTGCCCTTTTATATATTTAAAGTATTTTACTATATCTGGTATGCAATTGTATAGGGTTCTTTAAGTACTTAGTTATTTCGCGTACTTTAGCGTCTATTTTGTAATATTTGTCCCCCCCCCCCCCCCCCCCCCCCCCATATCACGCTGTGGGGTATGGTTATGGTTTCCGTCTGTCCATCTGTTCGTTCAAAACACAACAATACTCAAAGATCGTTTGACAAACAGTTTTCATACTTAGTAAGATTATTTGTCCTCATATGCTCTTAACCATGCTATATATCGTCAATTTTTACACCTGGATTTATTGGGCAACGACCAATTCGTTAAGTGTTTTGATAATGACAACTTTTGAACGCAAATCCTCTACGTCCGTTTTAGAGTAAGCTCTCATACTTAATAGGATGGTTTGCCATCTTGCATAAATGATCATATTGTACCGCCATTATGATTCTTCCATTTGTGATAGGAGTCAGGGCTGTCTCAAGTCAAGAAGTATTTGTTAAACAAGAATAAAACGCTGATGTGAGGTATCTGATAATTGCTTATTAATTGATTACATTTGTTTTGTTTGAGCTTTTGATTTTGCCATTTAAAAAAGATCTTTCCATTTAAAATTTTCTTTGGAGTTCGGTCTATTTTTTTTATTTCACTTTTTGCTAATAAATTCACTAACAACTCATCTAGACATGGGAAGAATTATAGCTTTTTGTTGCATGGTTTTATTTAGTTTTTGACGCATTGACTTATACCGACAATTTTAGAAATTCTTGTTCTTTTATTTCAGCGTGTGTTGATAGCAGAGACTCAAGTTCATGTCAATACTGGCAACAGCTTGGTTATTGTAAAAATTCTTTGTATGCAGAATTTATGTCAAAGAATTGTGCAAAGACGTGTAATTTTTGTTAAAGAAAAACACTCACAAATGTCTATTTTTATGTTATTGGTAAGTCATGCCGACAGAAAATGGAACAAGATTGTTTATCTCAAAGGATTGTCCTTTGAATGATCGACGGGAATGTAAATAGTAAAGTTGCGCGACTAGAAAGAAGAAACTGTTCTTTATGTTTTGTAATAATTTTTCAAACAAAAGGTAACAGAAATGATACGGGTGTTTCATTATTATGTTGCAGACACTTTAATGTGATTTTTTTTACTTGAAATGAATTCCTATTTGTGCATTCAAGTATTGTGAGTTCCTCTGTCCATATTGCGATTACAAAGAGATCCTTGCTTGCCTATCACAAACAAAACAACAAAACAGCAATCTGAAATTAAATGGTCACATTCCAAAACAAAGGTCCATTATTCAAACATCCCAGGAAAGTTAGATAGCATGATGAGTAAGGTTAATATAACAATTTCGAATAATATTTTGTCAATCAAAGAGGTCTAGTCACAAAACAACTGAAAAAACAGGAATGAAAACAATCGATAACACATGAACTTATTTTATTTAATACTTTATTTATTTAAACGAGGATTGCAAAAACACCAAGGAGTACTAGTGGTTTATTTCTTATCAACTGAGATGTGTATGTATCATAAGCTGTTGCAGTTGACTTTTTACGTACATAGAGTCAATACTATATCAAAGGTTCATTGCCGCTATTAACTTAGTAACTACATTCCATTTCCAAAAAAAGCAATCAATATTGATATCAGTATCTAAAATTGTTACCTGAAGCAAGTCTGATAGACTTAAATTCTTTGCTGTTTGGAAATGTAACACTAACTTACGAACAGAACCATTAATTCTTTTATTCAAGAATGTGAATAAAACATTGTAAATATTCCTTATAATTTACGTTGAATGCCACAACTTCTAACATACAGGCAAACACACATTTAATTTCACGTAATAATACCCTACTCGTTCTCTTGCTCTCCTTTTACTTTTATTCAACTTGTTTATATGTATATTTTGTTTCAATTTAAATAGATGTATTGTATGTATAATGATGCTCAAAAATATAATATTGCTATAATAGTAATCAAGAGAAAAAGTGGACGAATCAGGAACAAATGATGACAAATAACGTGACATCTAATATATAATTGTCGACGTTACTGTCCATAGCCTTTGAAGGCAACGACACTATTGACCTGATTTAATAATTAAACATACTCTATATTAAATTTCTATATACTAATATCAATATCATACTGCTGTGTATAGATATTAAGACTGCAAAGAAAAGGGTACAAGATACATAAAGGCGTGTATGTGGATTCATTATTGTTTGTGCGAAACCAATTATCGAGGATTTCGCTAGTGTAGGTAAAACCACGAATTTAAATGTTCAACGAAGTACACATTATCTATATATTTGTATTAAATACAGAATTTGGCAAAACCACGTAATCAAATATCCACGAAAATTTTCGTCAATCCATGAAAATTGATAAACTTTTGAATAAGGGGATGTACAGTATTAGAATAATTAATGAGTTGAAAAAATATTTGTTGGTGTAGTCGCCACGATGAATTTACCTAATTCAGCTTATGAAACTTATCAAATTAATGTTTCCCCTGAATTAAAAGTGTACCACATACCTTTAAAAAGATACACAAATTTTGATTGAACACCAAAAAGGAGAAACTGGGTGCGTAGACAAGGTTCGCATCATCTTCTGCAATGCATATATATCACATTTAAGGCAATAGTAATTTATTCATCTTTAAATCTCATAGATTCATCAAAAGATACAAAAAATTTTATTGGACTCCAAAAAAGGACAAATTGGGTGCGTCGACAAGGTTAGCGTCTTCTGTAGTGTATATATCACCCTACATGCTAATGCATTAAGTTTAAATGTCACAATACATACATTGACAGATCATTGCGACTATTCTAGTATCTATAGATCAAAGAATGCGAAAACGTATCACATAGGTCATCTTATTCAAACGTTAAACGGACAATTAAGCAAAACCTGTCAAATACTGACATATACGTCTTGGTTTGGTCATGTTTTGTGGCAGAATCTTTAATCGTTTTCAAGCTAAAATTTATGCAATTTTAGTTTTAATGAAATGTGAAAGCAAAAATCAAAATGTTTTATTTTTTTTTATATTGAACCTAAATACCCCTATTTGGTTTGAGGATTTGAGTTTCGTAATGCCTAAATTGTATGTGAAAAATAAACTTGTTCCGATACGAGTTAAGACATAAGTAAAATATGTGTCTACACTTTCAACATATAAATATGCAATCCAATACATCTTTTTTTCTAAAAGACATTAAAAAACCCACAAGAATGAATAGAAAAAATGTAAGAAACAGAGTTTGACACAACTTATGGTTGCGTTCAATGAATATCATATTAGTAGCTACATACATATCTGGTATGTTTGAAAATTAAGATTTATATTTGTTTCTTCATTTTGAAACATTTACATGTACTATTGTGTTCTTTGTGTAAATATGACGCCTTAATAAGCGTTTTTTTTTCAGATTTCGCCGATGCACTAGCAATTATTCATCAATCCATTTTTTTAATGAAATACATCGTGATTTTTTAAAGAAGGAAGCGAATCAATTTTCGTTCACAAAAAAAAATTGATGACTGGTGCTTTTAGGGATCTCGTTTAATAGTGTTTCTTTTAGCAGTGTCTTTTGAAATAGGAAATATTAATATGAATATAAGAAGATATAATATGATTGGCATGGAGACAACTTTCACCATAGATCAAAGAATAAGAAAGTAAACTACTATAGGGTACGACCTTAAACACTAAAAATAACCAATGTAGTAATTTGAAAAAGGCCCCGGCATGACAAAATGCGAAAAACATGCAAAAGAGTATCAACGGCCTTGTTTATGCTAAACACAACATAATTGGCAGACAGCAACAAATGACAGCAACTTACTTTCAGACTCCTAACTTGGGACAGGCACAAAAAATATGTGGCGGGGTCAAACGTGATTGTTAGGACAGTGGTTTAACAGCACAACATAAGAACAAACATTAAAAAAAAGTTGGACAGAGCTTTAGTAATCAAACGTTACTAAGCACAACCCTACTTAAAAGAAAAACATACCACTTCAACAACCAATAACCGACGACTACGAGAAAATAGACTACAAACATAAACAATGACGAACAATCTATTATCCACATTGTCTAACTTGCAATTGGTGCAGGCATAAAATTGTTGAGAGTCAAACCAGGTTGACGTGTGCACAAATACCCCTTTGCCTATGTAGTCGATGTTGAAGTGACAGTTAAATACACAATAATATTTAAAACAAACTCAACAGTTAAGCTACCATGGTTACCAGCAGGATGACCACTGATAACATATGATTTAAAGCAAGGTCAACATTTGCTCGCTGCTACAGGACTATACTTAAGGTCATCCAGAGTGTTTAGGTTTCACTATTCACCTTGATAGAATATAAATACAAACAAAACAAATATAACCAAGAAGTAATACGTTTGGATTTTTATTGTATATCTTGTGGTTCCAATATATCATAAATACTACTGTTATCAATGAAATTCAGAGTAATTTGCTGGTCAAAATATTCACATGAAGAAACTTCAACAGGATTATAAAGTATCATCAATTTATTTGATAACGTTTGCTTTTTTAAATTCTGAAACATTGAATAATACACTCACTATTCCACAGCAATCATTTAGCTAGGTTGTAATAAGTCTCTGCCTATAATTAGAAATCAGGTTTTAATTGAAAGATCCAATTGTATCACGTAAACGTGCACCCAATGATAAACTGTTGATTCTGTTGTCTATCCAAATTCTATAATTCTAACTAACAGACTTTAAAGTGTTTTCATTTTTTTAATTCAAAACAAAAAATTGTTGCATGAGGGTGTGGATTGGGGTTTACAGAATAGACAATAATGGGTAAAAAATATAAAGAATAGAGAAAAATGGACCAAAAATATAAAGAATAGAGAATAATGAGGTACTCCAATATAAAGAATAGAGAACAATGGCCTAAAAAAATTAAAACTACAGAAATAAAAGACCTTCCATCCAGACCCTCATTTTATCCTATGTTATTGTTAATATTGACGATACGGATTGGGTCTAAGGAAATGCACGTGATTTTCTTCGCCGTTTGCATTTATTGGAAAAAAAGATGCATACGGTGTCACACTATGGAGATGCTTGTTGAAGACTCTGTAATACATTGATGGGTGTACCATATTTCCTCTGTCCGTTTTACTGAAGAATAAGGTTGCCCTGTTGTCATTCTTCATTGGTTGCTGCTGAACTGGATGCCTGAAGTAACCATTGTAACTATAATCTGAATTGAATATAGCATATGATTCTGGTACTTGTTTAAACATCTGTTTTCCAAAATTACGCTCAAAAATTGGTTCTCTGTATACTTTGTTATCCAAATCTATCTTAGGTTCGTCCATCTTCAACGTGATATACACGGGCTGTGTGCCCATTACTATTGAGACATTTACAAAGGCAATGGTTAACAATCCAAGCCATTGTAAATTCATTATAGGGGATCCTCACCTGAAACAATACATATTGACATAGTCACTGCTGTGTAAAATATTATGTTATTGTGCTATGGTCATTTTTTGTATTCTTGTCTTTCATTTTTGCTTTTGTGCTTTGTCTATACAGTGTCTTTATGCCATTTTGTTTTTCTTTGTTGACATAGTTGTTTGTTTTTATAGTGATTAAGATTATAACACATACCGATTATGTCTGTTTGTTTTGCTTACACATTGTTGTCAATATGATGGAATTCTATGCGACTGTCATATAAGAAGAGGTGTAGCTAGCTATAAAACCAGGTGTAATCCACCATTGTCTACATCATTAAATGCCTGTACCAAGTGAGGAATATGACAATTGTGTTCCATTCGTCTGATGTGAATGAGCTTTTGATTTTGTTATTTTATAAGGGACTTTCACTTTTGAATTTATTTGGAGTTCGGTTCTTTTATTATTCTACTTGTTTAATATTTTGATTTAAAAAAAAGGCTTATAATTCTCTTGTAAAACTTTGAGTAAATTACATTTGGGAATGTTATTGTAATAATG